CAGTGATCCTTGTGGGTCCCTTCCAACTCAGGATATTCCATTATTATATGAGCTGAGGGAAGAAGGCTCCATCCATTCCCAGGGAAGATGGTGATGCTAGAGAAGGGAAAACACAAGGAGGAGCTGCCTCTGCCATCGGGTGCTTGGTGTTTTGGGAGTCGCCAGGGTGCTGTGGTGAGGCCAGGGGAGAATCCAAGGAAAGCCAAGAACAGCTGCAGGGAGATTTTTTGGTATGCTTTGGAAAGTAAAACTTCCTGTTGTGGACTTGGCAACTGCTAAGGAGGATTCGTACACCAAAGCATCAGTCCATGGCACATGTGGTTCACATGGAGATCCTTCCCATGGGATAGCTCTTCTCATCTAGGTCCCATCTGGCAGAGGTTCCCTGAGAGTGTTTAGGGCTAAACAAATGCCAGTGGGAAAGATCATGGAATTATGGAATGGTTATGCTTGGAAGGGACTTTAAAGATCATTCCCTTAAAGACTATAATGGAAGAGACCCCATGGATGGCGTGTTCTCAGGGAGGGTATAACTGCGCTCTCTGCACAAACATATGGTTTTTATAGATGTCACCAGCAACAGAGGAAGTGGACCAGCTCCCACAGACCACATTTCCTCACATAGCTCAGCTCTCAGAGAAACCCATCCCACAGGGACAGCTGCACAGAGCCTCTGTGTCCTGGCACACACAGCTTTTCCTCTTCTGGACAGAAATCCCAGGCATGATACAAGGATTTCAAGTGACAGCAAGTCACTTGTGCCCCAGGTAACTCATGGAATCCTAGACTGGTCTGGGTGGAAAGGGACCTTAAAGATCATCCTGCTCTACTCCCTGCCATGGGCAGGGACACCTTCCACTATCCCAGGTTGCTTCAAGCCCTCTCCAACCCGGCCTTGGACACTTCCAGGCATGGGGCATCCACAGCTTCTTTAGGCAACCTGTGCTAGGGCCTGCCCACCCTCACAGGGAAGAATATCTTCCCAATATCACATATAACCCAGCCCTCTGGCAGTTTAATACCACAGCACCAACTTTAAAGCATGTTTATAACTGGATTTTTTCTTGTTATGCCTTTGCCTGTGACAGCAAAAAGCCATGAGGTAAGAGAAATCATCTCTTCGTTTATACACTCATGACCAGCCTCCATGACACATGGACCTTGTTGAGTATATCCAGAGAGGGGCACTGGCCCAAGCCCCACCCTTGAGCTGGGTTACACTTCCACTCATTAGCAAGACAAAATTAAGATTAATTTATTACTGCATCATCAAGATGGGAATTTGGCTGCCCAGTGTGGAAAGGTTGGGGCAAAGCTCACGTCTATTTTGGGCTGTTTATAATCTGCTTCCTAGTTACCCTAGTTTGCCCTTTTCATCACGAAGAAGATGTGTTATTATGTAGTTAACAATATTTCTAAATATATCCACTTCTCCCAATATTTAGGTGGAAATGTAGGTGCCTGGAGCCAGTCCAAGAAAAGGGCAATGAGTGCAAGAACAGTGACATGGGCAGAAACTCAACCTTTCCCTTCAAAATACCTTATTTTGTACTTTGGAGGGATTCCTGCACATCCCACCTAACACACAATGTCCCACAACAGAGATTCCCATCAGGAGGTATGGAAGTACAGCAGGGAGGACATAAGAAGGACATGGAACTTCTGAAGCAAGTCCAGAGGAGGCCAAGAGATGCTCTGAGGGCTGTAGCCCCTCTTATCTGGAGACAGACTGGGAGAGCTGGAGTGTCCAGCCTGGAGCAGAGAAGGCTCTGAGGAGGTATTAGAGCCCCTTCCAGTGCCTAAAGCAGCTCCAGGAGAGCTGGAGAGGGACCTGGGACAAGGGCCTGGAGAAACAGACTAGGAGCAATGGTTTATCACTGCTGGAGGGCAGGGATAGGTGGGATACTCGGAAGGAATTCCTCCCTGTGAGGGTGGGCAGGCCCTGGCACAGTCTTCCCAGAGAAGCTGTGGCTGCCCCATGCCTGGGACTGTCCAAGGCCAAGTTGGATGGGGCTTGGAGCAACTTGGGATAGTGGAAGGTGTCCCTGCCCCTGGCAGGTTTAGAATGTGATGAACTTTAAGGTCCCTTTCCACCCAAACCATTCCATGATTCCATGAACTACAGACAGATAAACTCTGTGTAGTTCGAGGATGAGAATCTGTCCTCCTGTCCCTCCCTACTGATGAGATATCACAGACACAGTGCCTGGCATTCCTAATTTAAGGCATCAAGAGAAATCTTTGCAAGCCAGAAGCAGATGTGTGAGCAGGGCAGGGGGTGGGAGGAGGGTGGTGAAGCACAGGCACAAGGGAAGGAATGGGAGGTAATTCCAGTGGGAATTACCTGTGAACATCTAGAAAATGTTATCCTGTGTCTGTGATGTCTCTTCAGGAGATCTCCTTGGAGCCTTCTCTTCTCCAGGCTGGACATCCCCAGCTCTCCCAGTCTGTCTCCAGATCAGAGGAGGTCCAGTCCTCAGAGCATCCCCGTGACCTCCTCTGGATTTGCTTCAGAATAGTGGGAGCTGTTGATGAGAGGGGCTGGGATGAACATGTATGGGGTGATGCCTACACACCCTGGGGGAATGCCAGCCCCGTGGGAGTGCAGCCACCATGCCTGTGCTGGCTGGCACAACATGAAATCTGCTGACACATGAGAGGGATTTGTCATTGGAAACCTCAGAGCTCTGAGCAGCTGGGGGAGAGTTCGGCACCTGCCTGGGGTGCTCTGGATGGCTCCTTGTTGTCATTCTATCCTTCAGCAAAACATAGCCCTGGGGGGCTTCCTTGGACAGAGGGGACCATTGGCTTCCTGCACTGTTTTTTGTGACTGTTTCTGTGGTCTGATCATCCCATCTCATCCCATCCCACCCCATCCTTGGGCCACATGGCAGAAGACAGCCTTACTCTACCACCAGCATGATCTGATGTGCCAGCGCTGTAAACTGGCATTTTCTAGGTGCTAATCCCATATCCTAACAATGGCAGAGAGGAAGGGGTGTATGATATACTTTTTTCTTGGCCTCCAGGGATTGAAGTAGAAGAAGAAAGTCAGTTCTGCCCTATACAGTTACTGCAATACAATCAAACTGGGCCATTTTCACTGACAAACTTGACTTGTTGCCAATTTGCTTTGTCTTCCACGGCCTGAACCTCCTTAACTGAGAGGGCAGCAGGAGACTTTCCGAGACCCCTGTACTGCCCTCCCTTCCAGCCAGAGCCTTACACCCTCATGGAGGTGTCTCTCCTCCCCAGGCCATCCCTTTCCACATCCCAAGTCTTCTCCCACTGCACATACACTCTCAGGCATTTCTAAACAACATTATTTTAAATCAGGCAACTTCCCATGTCTCTTTTTAAAAAACTCACAAATTTCCACCCTTCCTCCTGGTCATGGACACTTCCCTATGCCAATTCCCAATCAACCCCTCATGCCCAACAGCTAACACTGAAACAGCAACACAAGCGATGTCAAACCCGTATGTCCTCCCACCTGAAAAAGCAGATTTTTTAGTGTCCTCTCTTGGGATCACCTGCAAAACAGTGGTCACTGGGATGACTGGGACTACGTAAAAGAATTTTCCTCTTCAGGCAGGTTTGTCCTGCAGCACCTGAACTTCCCCATCATAGGGAAATTTTCCGCTGGTGAGGAAATCAAGACAGAGCCCTTGTGGCACAGCACTCACTGTCCCCCAGCCCATGTCAAGCACCACATATAGAAGGTGAAAGCTGCTCCTTATCCTCAGAGCCAGAGTGAGCTCCAAGGCTGCCCAGGACAGGGGTGGGAAGGAACAATTTAACCCCTTGTTCAGCTCTCCAAAATCAAACTTCAGTTATTTTTCCTACTGGTGCAATTTTAATTCACGCTCATCCCAATATTTAGAAAGGAATAAGGGTGTCTAGGCCACAGTCAGAAGAGAACCCTCCTATATAAACTCCATAAATATCCAGAAAGAGAAATATCCAAGTGCTCTGGGGTAGTTACAGATTGATTATCCAGCTAGAAGACCCAGGGTACAGCTGGGTGACCTGGAATAGATCTGGAATCAGAGCCAGAGCAGAGCAGTGCCCCACAATACTTGGCACTGCTTGTGCTGCCGATACTCTCCAGCCCTGCCCCGGCACAGCAGATGCAAATCCTGCCTGCGACATGAAACCAGCCCATGACCACATGGATCAACTGCTAAAGAATCGCTGTCTTTCGTTTTTTGGCTCAGCCTGCCATGAAAACTAGGGAAACCAGATACTTCCCAGGCTTCCATGCACAAACCACATACCAAATATTCTTAGTACTGAGGTTATTAAGTGTTACAGAAAAGCAGGAACTGGCTCCCACTAAGGCACAACACAAAAAGAGGAAAAGGGCTAACATAAAGCTCTCGACTTCCAAGCAAATTCTTAAAGGATTTGCCAGGTGCAGAGAGGGAGATAAATGTACCCAAATCAAACCAAAAGAAGGAATTTTAAGTGAACAATAAATGCAAAACAAATGGCATAGGTAAAACCTGCTTCTCAATGTGATTTCCCCAGAGCAGGAAACATTTTTATTCCACAAGAACCAGAGACTGTTTAATCTTTTGCATAAGAAGAACTGAAAAGATCAAGAGTCCAGAGATCTCCAAGGGGGGGAGGGGGGAGAGAAAAAACGCAGCCTGTGGCATCGCTGTCACTGCACCGGCCCCTCCAGCAGCCTCCTGGGAATCCCAGCTCTGCTCCCAGCCCTGCCCAGGGATGTTACAGAACGGCCAGGGAGAAAATCCCTGGCACCAGCACAGGGTTTGGCTTTGTTAGTAACACCGGGATTTTATGGGACACCCTGTTCCTCCCGGAGTGCCAGGACCAGCTCCCTGGTCTCTCCAGAACAGCTATTCCTCCTCATCAAGCGCACGCCTTTCTCGGGTTTTGGGTTTTCCATCTCGTCCCTCACTCAGCCCGGGGTAAGGGGGGGTTTAAGGTGTGTTCCCACTTTTCCCGCAGCAGCAGTGGGGGACGTGACTTACGTCTATCGAGTGCTCCCGCTGCAGGAGCCTCCTGGTGTCCTTGTCGTGGTGGTTGAGCGCCGTGTCACAGTTTTGTGGGCCAGGTAAGGAGTTTTCTGATTGGTTTGTCTGACTGCGCTCCACAGGGATGCTCCCGTCCGCATCGACCACATCCAGCTCCTTTTCCAGCTCCTCCATCTCCTCTGGAGACAAAGTAGACAATAAATTGTCTATATCTGGATCTTCACTAACTTGTCGCCGGTATTTGGCCACTTTGGACATCTTGGCTCGCTGGCGAGACACGGTGGCGGTTGTGTGGTACCCAAAGCAAGAGAAAAAAAAGAAGCCGAAGCTCCAAGTCTGCTTCCCGAACGGCAGCAGGTGCTGAAGTGTTAAATCTCAGCAGCTCTCCAGCCCGAGATACGGTGGTTATCCAGAGGGGACACCCCTCGGTCCAAGAGTTGGCCAATAACAGGATCCAGTGGCGGTTCGGGCGCTGGGAAGCCAATGGAGCCCGGCGGGAGGCGGGGAATGGTGCTATCAGAGGAGCCTGAAACCCGAGGACATTCCAGGGAACCGTGCAGAGCTACATGACCAAATTTAGTCCGGAGCATTTCGCCTTTTAAAGGCAATGGGCCAACCTAGTGAGAAAACAGGGAAAAATGCATGAGCCGGCAGGCCGGGAATGGGGGCTGGAGGAGGCAGCCCCAGCCTTAGTCACGGAGGCTGGGGGGCTACTAAAGTGGGCAGCGTGGCTACAAAAGGATGGGGGGAGCCTCTGCTGTGACAGTGACAGCTCTTGGCTAAAATCGGCAAGGAAGCACCCACTCCAGAGGAAGTTTTCCTCTTTATCCCGCTGCAGTCTGGGATCGGTGCTGTTAGCCGACGCGCTCAGCCCCACAGGAAAGAGCTGGGGGTGGTGGTGGTGAGGCAGACTGGTTCCATCGGAGGGATGGAGGCAGCAGGTAACGAGTGCTCCCGGCTCGGCAGACCTGACTCCCCAGGCATTGTCAGAGCTCCTGCCGACCCTCAGACCCCGAGGGGCTGTTCCCATAGCTGTTCTTCCTCACATACTCCCACTTGCCCTCGCCAAGTCCCAAAGACATCCCTTCTGCACAGAGGGAATTCCTGAGTCTCCCCTGCTCCTGGTCCAGGCAGTGCCCTAAGCCTAAGGTTTATCTGGCAGCACCAACTTTCCATTTCCCTAATCCACACAGAAGCTTAACTGGCACGTGGGAGTTCTCCCACAGGGACAGGAGACAGGCTTTTCTCTCCAGCTTTACCCCATGTCCAGCATTTTGTACCCATTTGTTATCCTGCCAGCTTCATCCTGGTTTTCTTCATCCTTTATCATCCTCCTAATATTTACTGCCTGCTCCCAGGCCTCTCTCTGCTGATTCAAGCAAGGAGTCCTTTGGTGCTTTTTGACAAAACAAGCTCCCCTAGGATTTTCCTCAGCCTAATCACATCCTCTGCCCATCTTCCTGGCCAAATCCCACCCTGCACACAGGCACTGGGTGCTCCATGTGAGTCTCCTAGTGACAAACTAGACATTCCCCATCATAACAGGAAATGTACATTCTTGGTGCATTCCAGAATTTCTTTTATCTCCAGCACTGCAGTGCCCAGCTCCTGCTCATATCCTTCCTATGATTCACCAGCACGGCTGAGATTTTTTCCAGATTGTAGAAGAACTTGTTGGTTTTAGTTTCTAAGTGCACAAACTTAAACATTGCTGTGGTGAATTCCATCTCCCTCACTTCTGTTTTCCTGATCCTGCAACCAGAGGGTCTTGGTGCTTGCTTGCACTAGGAGGAACACAGCCATTCTCTCCCCCAGATGGCCTCACACACAGAATCATGGAATGGTTTGGGTTGGAAAAGACCTTAAAGTTCACCATGTTCCAGCCCCTACCATAGGCAGGGACACCTTCTACTCCAGGTTGCTCCAAGCGCCATCCAGCCTGACTTTGGACACTTCCAGGGATCCAGGGGCAGCCACAGCTGCTCTGGGCAACCTATGCCAGGGCCTGCCCACCCTCACAGGAAACAGTTTCCTCCCAGTATCCCATATAACCCTGCCCTCTGGCAGTGGGAAACCATTCCTCCTGGTCCTGTCCCTCCAGTTCCTGATGAAAAGTTCCTCTCCATCTTCTTTAACTCTCCTTCCTCAACACTGCCACAACTGTGACAGTGCTGAGGGCAACAGAAACCACAGTGAATTTAGTCTTTGGTGTCCATTTGGTGCCATCTTTGCCTGAAGAAGCCAAAAAAGTGTCTTGTTTGTTCCACCTTAATACAGCCCTGACTCTCTCTAAGGTCCTGTCTGGTCCCCTTTCAGGATACAAGGCTGGACATGTTTTAACACTGTGTGTTTTGGAAGAGAAATTTGAGTTACAGAGTCTGGGTGGAAGAAATTAACTGAGAGGAGAGTGGACCTAGGTGGATGTCAGGCTCTTCCCCCCGGGAACAAGAGACAGGACAAAAGGAAATGGCCTCAAGTTGCACCAGCAGAGGGTTTGGTTGGATATTGAGAAAACTTCTTCCCTGAAAGGATTTTTCAGTCTTGGCACAGCTGCCCAGGGCAGTGGTGGAGTCCCCATCCCTTGGAGGAATTTACTGGTTTAGTGGTAGTCCTGGGGCAATAGTTGCACTTGATGATCATAGTAGGCTTTTCCAACTTATGCAAGTCCATTTTGCTATTCTATAAATGTCCACCCCTCCTGTATTTCCATGGTATTGTTTTGCTCAGTCATCAAGCGCTTATAAGAGGTGAGCAACAAACTGGAAGCTAATTTCCCTACAGGAAAGCACACAACAAAAAGGTAGTGAGGAATCACATCTTTGTGTTGGCCTTTTCTTGGAACAATCCAAGCACTCCCAGGTGTGCCACCCCTGGCTCAAGGGACAGGACATATAGACAGCCCCAGGGACAATCTGCAATGCTAAGCGAGAGAAAGAATCCTTCTACTTAAAAGGGAAATCTGGAATTTTCTCTGCCTGCCTTTCCTTCGTTTCAAACTTTCCCATGTTGTAAGTAGGTTTTCTACATAATACAATCACTATCAACACCTTGATAAAATCTCTATTTTGTCATTCCTGGACCTTGATTCTTGTGATGAGAGGTACCGCACACCAAATTCCCTAAGAAGCTGTGAATATGGCCTGGGACACTCTGAGTTTCTCCTGAAGCATTACCCATCCTCTCCTGATCTAGGAATCCACAACTTCTGTGCACTCCTCCCCTGCACTGCAGAGCCAAGCAGAGGTAGCACAGAGCATAATTTCGTGGGGAAATATTCCCACACTAGCAGAAAATCAGGGAGAGAATAGGGGACACCCCAAACTCGTTACGGTTCAGAGTGGATGGTCTCACTGTGACTTATGTTGGCTATGACACAGTCCTTTTTAGCTGGGATATTGGCACAATTCTGTCAGACCATATTCCACAGGGTTCTTGGGGCTGTAGAAAGAAAACAATAGAAAAAAAGTCTGTGTTTTCACCCCAGCATTAGAGAAGCTCTTGATATGTCTGCACTGACTGGTCCTTCATGGGCCACTAACAACTGGTAATGGGGATGTGTTTGTGAACCCTTGTGAACCAGAACCCCAGAATTGCTGGGGTTGGAAGGGACCTTTGGAGATCATCCAGTCTGGCCCCCTTGCCCAGGCAGGGTCACCTGGTGACACAGGAACACTTCCAGGTGGGTTTGGTGTATCTCCAGAGAAGGAGACTTCACACCCTCCCTGGGCAGCTGTTCCAGTGCTCTGCCCTCCTCCACACAAAGAAGTTCTTCCACATGTTGAGGTGGAACTTCTTGGGGTTTAGTTTATGGCCATTGCTTCTCACCCTGTCACTGGACACCACTGAAAAGAGTCTGGCACTATCCTCTGACACCCTTTGGAGGTATTTGTCTGGATTGATGGGATGCCCTCTCAGTGTTCTCTGGACTCACCAGGCCCAGCTCCTGCACTCTCTCATCATCAGAGAGATGGTCCAGGCCCTGTGTGGTTCAGAGCACTGGCATGCTGTGTGGCTTGACACACAGGAGCTCTTGGCAGCTCTGAATACATTATTCCTGGATTTGGGATATGGATCAGGGTCCCATCTCCATAGCAAACAACACCTTGAGGGCACTAATAATGAGTATTTCCAAACCACTGGCTTTGAAGCACTACAACAAGCCATTAGAGGGGAGGGACAGAGTCAGATTAAGCAGCTTTTCCAGGCATATTTACAAACTCTGGTAGAGCTGAGAAAGCTTTTCGTGCCCCCACCTTTCTCATCGCCACCTGGGACCATCCATCTGCCTTTATTCTTCCCTATTAGCTGATAAAGGGCAACTGAACTTTGAATGGATTTTTCTAGCCTATATTTCTAGCCTATATTATATTTCTCTTTCCTTCAGAGCCTGCAGAAGGAGAGGCTGAAAACTGATCTTTTTATAATTTTCTAAGTTGTTCACTGAAGAGTGACCTTTCCCTCCTGGCCACAACAGGCAGTGGGTGTCTTGTGGCCAGTGAGAGAAATCGCTTCTCTCCCAAACCCAATGCATCTTTATCCAACACCTTCTCTCCAAACACATGCTTACATGACAGCAAGAGTGAAGAAGGCGATATATTTTGGGAAACTAACCAAATCCTGGCTGTGGGGAAATACCTGAAAGCCCCTTGGATATCTTCCATGTGCCTGCCTGAGGGTGGCACCACGTCACTTGGGTGATGCACAAGGTCCTGCGCCTCATGGACTCACCATGTTTCACCAGCTCTCCCACAGCTTGTGAAAGGTGGGACCAGAATGACCATTCAGCCTGATTTAATTAATCTACCACTCATTAGGGGAAAGAAGAAGGGCTACAGCAAAGCATCGCCACTCTGAGAAGGGTCGGATCAGTCACAACATAATAGAATTGTTGAGTTTGGAAAAGCCCTGTAAGTTCCCCCAGCACTGCCAAGGCCACGACTAGCCCATGTCCCCAGGTGCCACATCCATATGTTTTTTAAATCCCTCCAGGGATGGTGATTACACCACTGTCCTGGGCAGATGTGCCTGTGCCTGACCAACCTTTCCAGGAAGAAATTCTCCCCAGTATCCAAACTGAACCTCCCCTGGCCCAGCTTAAGGCCGTTTCCTCTTGACCTGTCTCTTGTCTCCTGGCAGCAGAGCCTGATGCCTGACACCTCCCTTCCTCCCCCATCGTGTCAGGGAGTTGTGCAGAACAAGCAGGTCCTCCCTGAGCCTCCTTGTCTCCAGGCTGAGCGCCCCAGCTCCCTCAGCCCCTCCTGGTGCTCCAGCCCCTTCCCCAGCTCTGTTCCCTTCCCTAAACATGCTCCAGCCCCTCAATGTCCTTCCTGAACTGAGGGGCCCAGAACTGACCCCATGACTGGAGGTGTTGTCTCACCACTGCCCTGCACAGGGGGATGAAGTCACAGCAGTGCCAGAGGACACAGGAGTAGGGAGAGTTGCTCCAGTGGCTGAGAGAGGCCAATATTTCCTAATTTTCCC